GTTATGCCCTCGCCGGAGCCCCTCTTCTCGCGCCACCAGCGAGCTTGTTGTCCCTCCTCACCATATCCCCTCTCGCATCGTAATACCGGTCAGCAATGAGCATCCTCAATGCCCGGCTTCTGAGGCCGCGAAGGAGGCGGCGGCGGTGCATGAGCAGGCGGTACTGTAGTACTGCTGGTCCCAGCTCTGTCCGGGCTGATGGCCCAATGTCCCATTCACATCCTGGCGAGACTCTGGGAGAAGACCCGGCCGTGGCCGCGTCTCCGTCATGAGACTTGGTCGACCAGTATAAGAGCTTGCCATACTAGCTGAAACCCCTGAATTAGGGCCTTTTCCATCGAAGGGTGGCCTCTTTTCCATGCCTTACTATTTCCAACTATGAAGAAGGCCTCGATTGCCTCGATAGGAAGACTGGTGAGGCATATTCTTCGACGCTGGCATGTTTCTCTTGTGAAAAATCAAACTGGCCACCGATTTAGAAATTTGACCCTCTTCCCTAGTCGTTCATTGGGGCGTGAGCAGTAGGAACTCGGAAGCCGCCTGTGCTGATTTATTCACACACCATTGTCACACATGATAGACTCGTCTTTTGTCAATACGACACGACAGGGAATCGAGGGCACGTACGTTCTCGGAGCCGGGTCAACGGAACACGGACTTGATGCTGATAAACATAGTGTGTGTTGGTCGTCAACGTCTGAACACGTTTGCTTGGGTCCATCTTCAGTCTATTGTTGCATCTATATATATGCGCCACAATCCGAGCTTTGACGAAACTCGGGCTTGTGCGGAAAAAGAACGCGGCGGACCACGACAAATCAACTTGGCCCAGATGCAAACAATACGATGATACAATATCCGAGATTCATTGATAAAAAAAGAGAGAGAGAGAGAGAGACCACTTTGGCCCTAAATGTCTTGCCTATTTATGAGCTTTCCCCCGCCATAAGAAGAATCCAAGTGTCGGACAAGACGAAAGACTTTCGTCAACCTAGCATTCTATTCTCCGCATATATTCAGTCAGCCGTTGCCGGATACGCTGTAGTGCCCCATGACAACCTCAAAGCAAGAGCCCGTTGCCATCATTGGTACCGCATGTCGCTTTCCAGGAGGCTCCAATACTCCGTCCAAGCTCTGGGAGCTGCTTCAATGTCCACGGGACCTCCTCGATGGCGTGCCTCCAGGCCGTTTTGATTCGACTGGGTACTTCCATCCGGATGGGAATCACCATGGCACAACCAATGCCGAGCATTCATACTTCCTTGATGATGAGGGTTAGGGTTATCACTCCAACCACGCTATTGGGTTGATAACATGGCAAACACTGTTTTGTTTTCTTCCGCTGTCAAGACGGCCTGCTCGACTGCTGGCCCGTTTGACCATTGAGATGTTTACGCTGGAAGACTTCATCATTGGCCGCGCCATGACGTTCAACGACGATGATGTCGGCTTGGAAACTTGCACAAGTCTGCGGATATCTGAGTCCTCCGATTCCCGCATTCGAGCCGAGTTCCTTTGCCACTCTGGTCTCCCGTACGACAATGCATCCGTGTTGATCGCTTCTACACTCAGCTCGCCGGCTGGGCTACAACTACAGCCATTCTTTCACGGGCATCAGGTCCATCTACCGCAAGGCGGGTTTTGCCACAGGCCTGATTGAGGACGAACCGGGTCGAGGCTGGGAAGATGATGTCATTGTTCATCCATCGTGGCTCGATGCCGCGATACAGACGGGGCTCGCGGCATATAGCTTCCCGCAGGACATGCGACTGTGGACGTTGCATGTTCCCACGTCTGTCAAAACTATTAAAATCAACCCTCACTTCACCAAATTGGGACACGGCAAGACAAGACAGCTGTCATATAAAGCCGGCATTGACGATTCATCAAATCGCATGGTGGCCGATGTTGACATTGCGGTTGAGCACAGCAAGGCATTCGTGCAATTCGACTCGATCGGCCTCCAACCTTTTGTGTGACTCCGACGCTACCATATTCTCGCAGTTTCAATACAAGATTGCCGAGCCCAATGGGGAGCATGTCGTGTCTACAGATTGCCACTTTCCAGCGGATCAGGAGGAGATTGTCCTGGCAGCAGAGCGTATGGGCCTCTACTACATCCGCCGGTTACTGAAAGCGATGACGCCCGACGAGGAGGAGACTATATTACCCCATTATCGTCGTCTATTGAGCTGGGGCCGATACATGTTGGACAAGGTTACCTCTGGAAAGCACCCGACCGTGCCTCCAGAAGCAGTCAACGACACCCCCGACGTCATCAAGGCCCTTGTCGTGAAGCACAACTCTGCTGTCGACGTCCGCCTTGCGGCAGCAGTAGGGAGAATATTTTCCGTGCGGTTCGCTCCGACGGGAGCACCCTTGAATACATGTTACGAAACGGCGAGCTAGATCGCTTCTACGAGGAGGCCGCCGGGCTCAGAATCTCAAACACGTGGATTGGAAGAATGCTTTCTCAAATTGCACATCGGTACCCTCACATGCATATCCTTGAAGTTGGTGCAGGAACAGGCGGTGCTACAAGGTCCTTGCTGTCGGAGCTTGGGACCGCATTTTGTTCATACACTTATACGGACATCTCTGCTAGCTTCTTGGAACGTGCTCGGGAGCAATTTGAACAGTACGGTTCTCGGATGGTCTACAAGACTTTTGACATGGATAAGTCACCAGTCGAGCAAGGCTTCAAAGAGGGATTCTACGACATTGTCGTAGCGTCAAACGTCTTGCACGCCACAGGAAAGCTCCACGAAGCCATGGCCAATGTGAGACAACTGCTGAAGCCGGGAGGCCATTTACTCTCTTTGGAGATTCAGAGCAATGAGCTCCTTGGAATCGGCTTGATCATGGGATGTCTGCCCGGCTGGTGGGCTGGAGCAGAGAGCGACGCCCGCCGCAGTTTGGGACCGGCGCTCCCATTGTCCAGATGGCATAGTTTGCTTGCCGAGACGGGCTTCTCTGGGGTTGACACGGCCACTCCGGCGATGCACAAGCTTCATTCGTACAGCGTCTTCTCCGCACAGGCAGTTGATGATCGCATACGCATGCTGCGCGATCCTCTTGGCCTTCCGGCCCTAAGCACCACCGCGAGATTTGCCTGGGCGGTGTATAAAACAGATGCTTCTCTCAGATGTCGCGCTTTTTATCAACTTTGCACAAACGCCAGCTGGCGCAAAGACCGGCCATCTCATTTCCGAGCACCTCCCGCAACATATCCCAGTCGCCTTGCCCTCGGAGTTCTTCAATACCAACGGCACAGTAGTCCCAGGTATCTCGGCTGAGGAAATCGGCCAAGTCTTCAAGGGCTCTTGGCAGAGTCTTCTGGCAACCCCTGATGCCGTCGGCCAGGCCAGGACAATACCACTTCAAGAAGTAGACAGCCACGGCATAATTGGTGAGCCACTGACCGTCGTGGACTGGAGCACGGAATCTGTCAAAGTGGTCGTTCAGCCTATCGACTCCGGCCAAATCTTCCGCAGTGATGAACGTACTTCTTAGTCGGTCTGTCTGGTCAACTGGGCCAGCCACTCTGCCTCTGGATGGTCAAGCATGGCGCTCGGAATGTGGTGCTTACGAGCCGAAGCCCAAAGGTAGACCCGACGTACATCAAGTCAATCGAGAAGCTCGGTGCCAATCTCAAGATTATGGAAATGTAGGGACATCAACGGGCCCCTTTGCCGCATACCGTATCGTGTTGAGCTAACAAGCCGTTTGCATAGGGATGTTAGGGATCGCAACTCACTTCACGCGACATATGAGGAACTCTGCAACACAATGCCGCCCATAATTGGTGTTGCTAATGGAGCCATGGTATTAGAGGACGAGTTGTTTGACAAACTGTCATTCGAGTCGTTTGACCGTTGGGTCGCTCCCAAAATAGACGGAAGCCGCCTGCTCGATGAGCTGTTCTACAACGCACGCCTCGACTTCTTCATACTCGTCTCCTCTCTCGGAAGTGTCGTCGGGAACTCGGGCCAGTCCAGCTACGTCGCTGCTAGCTCATGCTGGGCCCGGACGAGGCAATCAACGACAAGATGCCGCTCGTAGAGCAGGGGGTCGATTCTCTCGTCGCCATCGAGATCCGTACATGGTTCATGAAAGAATTAGACGTCGACATTCCCGTCGTCAAGATTTTGAGTGCCTCGTTGACGGTTGCGGCGCTTGTCACAGATGCCGTGGCAAAGCTTCCACCATCCCTTTTGCGCAATCCTGCGGTCCAAAGTAGCCCTCCTGTTTTCACACAGTTCATGCCCAGGCCGCAAAATGAAAACGACGATGGCACTTTGCACGTCGCGAGTCACTCGGTGACTAGTAGCCAGACAGGCCTGTCGACACCAGATACGCAGCCATCATTGCCAAAATGAATATTGAAAAGGGGAAAAAGAAAAAAGGGTTGGTTCTCGTTCTTCTCTAATGCACCCAACAGGCCGCAAAGCCGCATACGTCCCACCAAAGATCACTGCGACCTTCTTCAAGGCAGCGCTGCAGTTTGGAAGGGTCATCTCGGTCATCTCTCTGGGGTGCTGGACAAGCTTGCGCGGCATTGTACTCGATCTTGCTCCCAGGTAGGGAGGCTGTCGTTGTTAGGGAGGTCGGCGATATGTACGCCCGTGGCGTCGCATCGTGACATTGACCAGTCACCATACAGGTGACATTGCCAAGAGCAATCTTCGTCGTGGGTTGGGCTGAATTAGAAAAGCAAGCGGGTATTTGCTAGGGATATCCAAAATATATACTACTAGACGATACTCTTTGCACGCCGCAATATCGAGCTGTACATGTTGCTCCAGATCAGAGATACTCCATTCGCCATGTCACTATCCAATCCCTCAAAGCCCGAGTCGTTCCTTGCATGCCATCATGCGTCATGATTGTAGCCCAAGTATTGCTATCCATTGCCATGAGATGCCCGTCACCAAAGTCCCAGCTACGCCTATCCTGCCTCGTACTCCCCATATCCAATCTCGCATATTCACCCCACAAGTCTACAGCTTGCCGCTACGAATTTCCTTTTCAAATATTTTTACTCCCCACACATCATAAAATGGCAGGGGGCCAACCGTCTTGTACCTCAGTCGAGATCCACTGTCCATGCCTTCGTCCTCGCTTTCGCTTTCAGAATCCAAGCCCTCTAGAGGAAATACAGGGTATTCTTGCAACGAGCTGCCATTGGCGGGAGCGTGAGCCTTGTCTTTTCCCTTGTTCTTTGTCCTGTTCATTGGCTCTTGAGAAGAGGGATCCGCAGAACACTCCGATGGCCGCACCACTCGGTCGACTCGGTCGTCCTCCATGGCTATCCATTCCAGCTTCAGTTGGGGGTGGTGAGAAAGATTGTCAACAATGAATCGCAGTAATTCCCGCATGACCCAGATACAGGTGTCATTGTTCTTGAAGTGAAGAATATTGATTGCCCGGAGATTGATGAGGCCAGAAAAGTACTGCACAAAAGCATGCTAGGAGTTGTCAGCTACTCTTGTATTCACATGCACTAGAAATCCCTAAAATGCGCGCGCCTAAACTTACCACAGTATGAATGTTCATGCTTAATGCAAGTTCTTCCAGCTTTGCGCCTCGGGTGCATACAAGTATCATCGTCTTTACATTGGTGTCCCAGTTTGGTCCATTGGATTCGTCTTTAATCATAAGTCTTTTGAGAGTTGGCATGTGCTTTTTGAGCACCAACCGGCGAATTTGATCGATTGATGTAGCGGTACGGGGCGCAAAGCTTTCAGGTTTATGCTTGACACTTCGCTCCAGCATAAATAGATCGTCTAGTTCTGGAAGCAGTGCCATGCACGTCAAGAATGAGGCGGAAACATGGTCTGTAAAAACACTCCGTAAAGCAATCGGGCGAAACTTCTGCTCTTTCGTGAGCATAGACCAAATAGGCGCTTGGTTTCCAACATTGATGAGGGTCAATTCTTTAATGCACGCCACATCAATGGCTTGCGACAAAACAGACGCCTTGACGGGGATGAGGCAAATTTTCAGAGTTTCAATGGACATTCCCCTAGTCTTGCGTGCATATGAGTCCATATCCTGCTTCAAATTCTTGCTTTTCTGAGTACTAGGCCTATCCAAGAGGTCTTCGATTTCAGACTCAAGGATCCTGATCTCATTAGACACTTCTATTGCGCCTCGGCTGAGAAGTGAAAGTTCTGAGTCCAGGGCGTTGGCAACAGTAGAGCTGCTCTCATTGACCCTCTCATCACGAATTTCCAAAACTCTTTGCCCTGCTTCGAAAACTAATCGGCGCAGTTGTGCCAGCTTTTCGATGATTGCTGTGCGGTCTGTTTTTCTGGGCCTGGATTCTGCGTGGATAGGATATTGGTTGGGCATCATCGTTCGAAGGTTCTGCTTTGAAGTAGTTCCTGATTTACCGCAGGACTCACCATCTTGTCCACTTGGGCCTTGTCGCGGCGCCAAAGTTTTCGATGTGGAGAATTCTGTCGGCTGCTGATCGTCGAATTCGTCAATGTGTTCATCTAAAGTTTCCAAGTGCTCGATATCGATATCGTCGGGACAGAGTTCCCCTCCGTTCAGAGATCCCCGAACCCCGTTGGACGACGCCTTATTGATCAGCTGGCGCTGACCAAGATCTTCACTGGCAATAGGTGCATTATAACGTGGGGTTTCGTTTTGATCGATGTCAGCACCTGTACCTGCCCTCGCCATGTCGGCTGTAGATTCTGGCTTCTGTGGCGTCGATTCTTCGGCATGGTTGACCGTGCCACTCTCATTATATATTGAATTCTCTCCAGCCACATCAGATTCCACGTATTTCCGCGAGGCTTTCTCAATTGTATCAAGGATTTCTTGTTGAGAGATGGAAAAATCTCTAGAACCATGCATAATTGCCATGAGCCTAGTAGATACTGTTCGAATCGATGAAATGTACTCTTCGCGAGGGTCACCCGGCGTAGCCTTTGACTCTTGAGTGGTTGTCTCAGACTTTGGTTGGAGGTTTAATGAGGCACCAAGTTGTACCGGTGACTTCTTGAGCAAATGAGGTTCTTCGAGGTCAAAGACCTTGTTCAGAATTGATTCTTGTATCTTTCTCTCTTCTTGAGCTCGAAAGACCTTTGCTGGGCCGGTGGTGTCAAAGCTAGTGGCATTTTCTGATGTTGGAACAACCTGGTATTCATCATCAACATCTGAGTCGTCAGCATCCGAATCTGTCGGTGGTCTTCGCGCCTGCTGTGCCAAGGAATCGGACAAGGACAGCTGGAGTTCCTTGATAGTGGAAAAGCAGTTTTTGACACAAGTTCTGAGTTCAGACAGGATATCAAGATTGTCAATGTCCAACACGGACAGGGTCTTGAGTGACTTGAAACCTGACAGAGTCAATGGTTCCTTGTTATCCGAACCTCTCTTGCCTAGCTTGTTTTTGGGGGTCGGTCTGGACGAAGGCGGTAATAGAGCGGGTGGTGGCCCAGGAGGGGGGCTCCCAGGTGGTTGCAAAGAGGCTGGTATGGGTGGCCCAAGTGGTTGCAGAGGAGGGATCGTATCAGGCCAGTGGCCATTCGGCTGGTGATGAGATTGACTGTCAATAGATACAGGCAGGGGAGGTGGCGGTGTATAATACGAATCTCCCGCCTGCATCCGAAGATGTAATCTCTTCAGAGATTTGATACGGTGAAGCTGTGCATACACGGGTCTACTGAGCTCAACACGAATATTCCAGCTGTTCATTCATGGTAGCATGAGTCAGCATATCTAACCCACACCCATCGGTCTAGATGAAAATATTGTAGCACTACACGCCGGGGGGTGGTGACTCACCGAAAAGACTCCAAAGAATGTGCTCGCTTTAACGTCAGGTACAACAATGTATTGAGGAATTTTCCGCAGCTTGCGCTGTATAAGTAAGGTTGATACGAATGCTCTCCTTTGACACCGGCACTCAAAGTGTCCATCGAGAGGTCCTGCAGGTGCTGAGCATAGTTGTATTCGCTGGTGGTGAAGGTATCCAGGCCACCAGCCAACCCGTCAATCGGGGATTCAATGTTGATATCATCGTCATCGGGGAAAATGATGTGGAAGCTGCGATAGAGCTGGGCTGCTGCCAGCTCACGGAACCGTCTAGACACCAGGGCTAGACAGATGAGATCACCCTGAGAACACTGTTCCAACGGCAAGTCTGTCAGCAAAAGGACCCGACCAACAAATAACAGTCCCCGACGACAGACAAAAAAGGTGTCTGTGTGAAATGTGCTGGGGGCTAAGAAAGCCATGCCCCAAGTATCAAGGTGCTTCAAGGCTGAGTGCAATGGGAGACCACGTACGTGGGAAACAATTTCCTGCTGGGTTTCGGCTGGCAGGTCGAGAATTGTGATTGACGTCCTGGATGGTTGGGAAGCTGCGGCCGCTGCAGCCTCGCCGCCGGTTGTAGTTGTCGCCATGATATCTGAGATTAGGCCACGAGGCGGAGTAGTGGAGGAACCGGCGTTCGAGGGGCAGCTGCGCGAGGTTGACGACAAAGCAGCAGTCAATGGGTAGAGTCAGATGTCAGTGAACAGCACGTCAAGTATCTTCCACGTCGTGATGGACTGATTGAGCGAGCGGGTTGAGGGCTGAACTGAATCATTAGCACAGTCCACCAGGGTCATTCTCCATAGGACCAAAACGACGACCGGGACAGCGCATTGCTAGGAAGTCCTGCAAGACGCTTCGGGGACTGCTTTGACTGACCTCGGCCTTGGAATGAATTGGCAAACACCAGGCATTGGCATTTGCAAGCCACCAGTCAGCAATCCGTTGCAGGCACTCCGTATTGATGGGGCAATCCGTGGGACTTCAGCGAACCGGCCTGATATTTTGATGCGGACCTGAAGATATTACTTGGCTCATCCTCGATGTCAAGGAGAAAAATAAGATGGCCAAGGCCTACAACAGTTGTGGTGTTCAAGGGAGATGACAAAGCCCCCAGAAGGGTTCATTCCACTGAGCTCGCATGTCTAGCTGTATCTCGGTTCCACCTTCCTCAACTTTGAGACAAGCTGTGCTGTAGGGTAGCCTAAATGTGTCTAAAATAGTCGAAATGGCACAAACAACAATATAATTGCACATCAATATTGGAGGCGTGAACCAAGAACATGGTACCAAAGGGGGCTTTGTGCTGGTCAAGGCATACAGCTTCTCCACACAGACGTGACACTCACCCTTGCTCTTTGGGCACGCCAACATGCCTACACCATGATTTGTTGCCGGCCTGCAATCTTCATGGATCCTGTGCAGACCCTTTCATTGTATCCTGCGCTGGACAAGTCTACCTGCCATTCCTCATTCCTTAGCTTGCTTAGGTAAGAAAGGATAACATTAGCATCACAGCCACAGCCGCCGCCACATGTAAACAAGGAGCCACTCCACCGCGCGACGATCCTACCCCCCCACTAGGCTGTGTCAACGACAAGCCATCAGGTCATCTTGAAACCACTCAACAAACCTCCCAACTACACCTCGCAAAAATACCTGGGAAAGCGCGGGCTTTCCCATTTTCTTCGTCGCTCTCTTGTCCGCTCGACAGCTGCGTGAGTCACCCAGGACTGGCTAATCATGCATGTAGCTGGTTTTCGACATCGCCGATGAACGTTTCCAAATGAAAGACGCTCCTTGTCCGTCCAGCGGTCCAATACATCGACAGCGTTCAAGCACCACAACCTCTCCACTTCATATCCTGCAGGACCCCCATGTCAGTCTAATCCTCGGTAGCGGAATACTCCCAGTCAAGCAGTGTCTACATATTATACATGGTCCTTCGCCATCCCGACCTCCCTCGAATCCGACAATTCTCTTTTCCCCCCGATAAGCGCGGGCTGGCTCAGCCATTGGTCTACCGTCTTCAATAATGGCGGATACAGAGGAACCTCAGTTCAATACTCTCGCCGAGAGAATCGCTGCCCTCAATAAGCAGAAAAACTTCAATGGCAATGGCACCGCCGAGACACCACGCAAGCGCGCGCCCCCTCCAGCGCCTCCTGTGCGACCAAAAAGTCCGAAAAGAAGTGAACCTGCTCCAGCCCCGGGATCTGCTTCTGTCAACGGGCACTCTCATCCATCAATTCCTATCAGACCTGTGAGGGGGAATGCGCCGCCTCCCTTGCCTCGAAGAGATACTCAAACTTCTGTCGCAAGCAATGACTCTTCGGTCACAAAGCCTGGCGGCGGCCCTCCACCATTGCCAGGACGGCCAGCAACCTCTCAGACTCCCCCGGCGCTGCCTCGGAGGGCATCAGCTCAGCCGACGACATATCTTTCTCCCCGTCGCAACTCAGCTTCTTCGGAGGTTTCTCAGCTTTCCACGGTATCTACGTCGTCATTGGGGCGGACGACCTCGTCCAATACCAGCTACACGTCCAGTGGAAGCGCTCCACGAAAGATGATGGCTCCTGCTACCTGCGATGCGGCGAGTCTGCCCCCTCTACCCCCTTCGAAACGAGACCTCGAAGCCAGGGCAAAGGAGGCCGCTGCTCAAGAAATCGCTGTAAAAGACGCGGCCGCTAGGGACTATAGAGCCAAGCAAGCTGCCAAAGCACAGGAGGCCCGAGCCGTCGGCAACACTTCGTCCCCGGCCCCCCCCGCTCGACCCAGCTTGCCACCGCGGTTACCGTCAAGGCCAGCCAAATCCCCAAGTCCAGCACCAGCACAAACCCGTTCGGCGGTTGAAGTTGAAGAAGCAAAACCAGCACCTCACAAACTTCCCTTCGGCACCATTAAGGGTTTTTCTACCGGGAAATCAACCAAAGCGCCGCCCATTTCAATGCAACGGCCACAGCTTCCTTCCAGACCATCTGCCCATGCCGAGGCCACCGGGGACGATTCACCCCCGCCAGTGCCTCTGTCGTCGAGACCTTCTGCAGCGCAGATTCAAGCCGCAGCATCTGAGGCCGCAACCGATGCATCAAATGGGGATAGTAAAGAGCACGGTACTACTGGATGCTGGGTGTGTCGAGATTGGAGTGGACCAGATACTGTGGCAGCACAGTTTCCGAGACAATCCCTGCCTCGTAGTGACCCTGTCGGCCATCTTGCCCGTGGCTTGTGCGGCCCTTTCCAGTCATACGACGATAAAGCAAGGGCAATATTTACATGGTGTCACCACAACATATCGTACGACACGGTGTCTTTCTTTGGCAACAACGTGAAGCACATGTCTGTTGAGGACACCATTTTCAGTGGTTTGGCAGTATGTCAAGGCTATGCGGAAACGTTCAAGGCTGTGGCCAATAGAGCGGGGTTAGAGTGCGTAGTTGTTGGAGGTCACGGAAAGGGCTTCGGTCATACGCCATTGAAAAAAGGTGAGCGACCGCCTCCAGCGAAAGCAGACGGGCACGCCTGGAACGCTGTCAGAGTGGACGGTGGCTTCTGGAAGCTCATCGACGCTTGCTGGGGAGCTGGACACATCTGCTCGGCGGCCAATCTGTACAAGAAGGAGTTCTCTCCACGCGAGTTCACCCTGACCAACGAAAAATTTGGCCTTCGCCACTTCCCTCAGGACTCACGGCTTCAATACAGGAGTGACGGACGCACTATTTCCTGGGAAGAATATTACACTGGAGGCCTGGATGGGGAGCCACACCAATGGTATGGCACTGGAAATAATGAAGGCATTGCAGAGGAATCTGTGGAGCCAAAGGGTCGCGATATATCAGTTCATAGCGGGCAGGTCGTACGATTCCAATTCTCCAAGGTTTGCGAGCACTGGACATCGGAGAAGGCTGGGCTGGGGAAGCCTGCCTTGTTCTTGCTCAGTATCCACGGGCTTGGCGGACGTAAAGATGAGATTATCCCTACCGAGACCAACGGATACTGGAACTGGGTAGATGTCAACGCTCGAGATCTTGGAGCTCCGGGACAATCAGTGGAGATTCTAAAGCTCGAGACGATGGATAACAGGGACGCTCGCGGTGTGACGGCGGAAGAGTTCAAGTCAAAGAAGGGCAGGGTCGGCATGTCATGGTCTTACATCGCCAAGTGGAACTTGGTATAACGAGTTACGAACAGCTTCTCTTGAGTGGCTACAGACAAATTATTGATTGGGTCTACCTACGTAAAGTATACACGCATGGCGTCAAGGTCAATGGGATAACTAGCATTAATACACCTAAGTCTTCGTTTCCCGAGCTTACTTTGAGAATATTTTAACGACGTTTGTCACTCGTAATGTACTATTCAATACAGATGGTAGCATATTAACCGTGTATAGTAATTCGTGCCCCAACGCCACAGGCACATGCAATAAGCGAGCCCGGAACCATATTACCATCGTGCTACAGGTAGTCATGGGCGCCATTCCCACCATTTGTTCAAGATTTGACGGTTTCATGCCATCATTACAAATTCGTCGGAAACCGCTTTCGTGTCCACCCTCCATACCTCTATACCAGGAGCGGAATTAGAATCAACGCAACCGAAAGGAACCCCAACACGGACGACCCCCAGCCTATGCCCAAAGCTCTTGAACATCTGCGGCCCAGCCAGTGGCAGCAAAGCACCAACCGTACTTCTCAAAACCGAAAATGCCGCCAGCCCCGACGCCGGGTACTGAGGATACGCGTCTACGACGTACGTGAATAGGCGCCCAAACACTTATAATACCAAATCCAAGCGGCACGAGACCAACAACGGAGACAATCCAGTTCACCACCTTGTCGGCGGACCCGCCGAATATGAAGAATGTGACGGTTATTGCTAGCGCAAACCATATACAATCCCGGAGCCGCTTCTCGGGCTTATACACGCCATCATTGGCCTCTGTCACTCGAACGACCGTCCTGTCGGGGGGCAGGTAGAACAAACCCAGGCCGCACACGTAGCCTGCCAGCACGGCGAGGTAGACGAGCCCCGTGATGCCGATGGAGAAATGGTACGTGTCCTGGAGGAGGGGCGGTATAGTATTAAAGAGGAGGTGCAAACAACCATAAGCAAATGCCATATATAGAGAAACGCAGAAAATGGTGGCCGAGGTGAAGAGCATCTTGAACGGGCGCACGAGTCCATTCAGGACGATGTGGTTCTTGGTCAGAGGCGGCGCGCCAGGGCTCAAGTAGCAGCTTCGCAGCTCAGGACGGCGGCACAGTTCCCCTCGCAGCCTCCGCGTCTTGCGCTCAACAAGGACCTGGTGGGTTGGTCTCGCGGTTAAAAGGCACCATGGCGACGACGGTGCCCGTTGCCGGGATGAACGAGATCCAAAGCTCACAACCCGTCACCCAACAGTCTGGGAGACGAAGGCTCCCACGAGCCGACCCAGAGTCGGACCATACATCGGTCCTACCCCTAGATAATGGTTTCCAACTGTAACAGAAGCGCTGTCCGGGCAGTCCCCAGAGCAGTACTATCCATTCTGGTTCTCCCTGTAAACATATTAATTGACATCTTAGCTTAGTTCAACTTTATTTCCAATATACATCGGCCGTGGTCCCCGGCGTAGGCTCCACCTGTTCCGCTGTGGCAAATATGTCTGATGTCTTTTGGGCACAGACTCCCGTCTCGTCTTGGCTACGGCACGCAGACAATAAGCATTTGCACCTTGGCGTTAACGATGCCCTCTAGATAAATAGGGTAGCTCCGTGATTGTAGGACTGGAATAGAATGCCGACTTGTCTGTTGTCGAAAACACAAGGAACAGGAGGGCACCGGGCTGAAGAGAATGAGCACCACAACCTGGTCGTCTACCAAAAGTCACACTCAATCTTTGCTCTTCACATAAGAAGCCAGTACCCCGGCATACCTGGCAACCTACTTAAGAAAAAAAAAGCTGACGAAGGGGTAAAAGGGCCAAGTGCAAGATGAAGTGATAAGTGCTCAAGAACAGGAGGACACGATGAGAAAATGAAGCTGCGAGTTTAATATGACGATGCAGCTGCCACGGTGGCTTTGGCAGGAGGCTTTGGCAGGCGGGGCTAATTAACGCGGTCAGTGCATGGTTTTAGCTAGAGCGCGTGTTAATTGGGATACGGAGCAACAAACCTTCGACTCCACTAGAGTCTCCAGTCCGTCATATTCCCACGTACCCATATGTACTCTAGGTACCTACCTACCTAGGTAGGTAGGTACCTAGAGTACATATGGGTACGTGGGAATATGACGGACTGGAGACTCTAGTGGAGTCGAAGGTTTGTTGCTCCGTATCCCAATTAACACGCGCTCTAGCTAAAACCATGCACTGACCGCGTTAATTAGCCCCGCCTGCCAAAGCCTCCTGCCAAAGCCACCGTGGCAGCTGCATCGTCATATTAAACTCGCAGCTTCATTTTCTCATCGTGTCCTCCTGTTCTTGAGCACTTATCACTTCATCTTGCACTTGGCCCTTTTACCCCTTCGTCAGCTTTTTTTTTCACCTTCTTTTCTTCCATCAAAAGCCACGAATACTCTCCGAAACAAGTCATACGACGCCAATTGGCAACAATGCCATAACCTCAACACCACAAACCACGAACCCACCATCTCCAAAATGCGCGCCTCGTCGCCTCCCAACTCGCCAACATCCCTCTCCCGCTCCGAAACTCTCACCCTCCTTATACTCAGCGGCGCCTCGCTCTCCGTCCTTCTCAATACCTTCCAAGGCGATGGCGAACCCCTCATCGCCTCGCTGGCCCTCTCCATCATCGCCTTCAGTCTGTGCTACGCCATGATCCGCTGGCTCGGCCCAACCTTCATGCGCGCAGGCTTTCGCGGCCGCGACCTGGGCAAGACAACGCGCATCGAGATCCCCGAGTGCATGGGCGCCGTCTGCGCCGCCGTCTACCTCCTGACCGTCATCGTATTTGTACCGTTCCCCTTCTACAAGGACATCGTCGCCGCCACGTCTGGCGGCGGTAATCGCGATGTTGTTCTGGAGCAGGAACATGTCGACCACGGACGCTTCCTCCACCGCTTCCCACACAACAAGCTTGCTTCCTACCTGGGTGCCATCATATCTCTCCAGACCATTGCGCTGCTTGGAATCGGCGACGATCTGTTCGACATTCGATGGCGGCACAAGTGGTGGATTCCAGGTCTCGCCAGCATCCCCCTGCTGGTCGTGTACTTCGTCGACTTCAACGTCACCTCCATCGTCATCCCCGTCCAATTACAACCCTACATCGGAGAATTATTCGACCTCGGCCCCCTGTACTACGTCTACATGGCCTGCATAGCCATGTTCTGCCCGCAAAGCATCAACATGCTTGCCGGCGTAAACGGCATCGAAGTATCCCAATGCCTCGTCATCGCCGCTCTCATCGCCTTCAACGACTGCCTGTACCTGTTCACGCCGTACCCGCACCCGGCAACCGACTCGCACTTGTTCTCGCTCTACTTCCTCCTCCCCTGGATAGGCGTGTCCGCCGCACTCCTCCACCACAACTGGTATCCCGCAAAGGTCTTTGTCGGTGACACCTACTGCTACTTCTCGGGCATGGTCTTCGCCGTCGTCGGCATCCAGGGCCATTTCTCCAAGACCCTGGGCCTCCTCCTCATCCCCCAATTCTTCAACTTTGCTTACTCGGTGCCGCAAATCTTTGGACTAATTCCCTGCCCGCGCCACCGCCTCCCCAAATTCAGCGCCCGAACAGGTCTCATGGAACCATCCGTGACTCCGTGGAGCCCCGACCGCCAACCGCACCCTCTCATAGCACAGGGACTACGTCTCCTCGGGAAGCTGCACCTCCTGAAGGTGACTGTTGACGAAAAGGGCAATTTTGTGGAAACCAGCAACTTTACCATTTTGAATCTGTGGCTGGTGTGGCGAGGTCCCTTGCGAGAAGATAGACTGGCGACGGAAATTACGTTGCTGCAGCTGCTTGTGGGACTGTTTGGTTTGTTTGTAAGGCACAAGCTGGCCCTGCTGGTCTTTAAGGAAGATAACTGGGGTACGACTGCGTATTAGATAGAGCACTTGGCTGGCCGCATGTCTCTGCTAGGCGCAGGAGAAGACAGAGCTTATGAAATGCTGTCGTCTAGTCTACATAGCTGAATTGATACCCGTGAAATGAACTCGGTTACCCGTTGACAACTAAGTGGGCCTGCCACTTAGTTGACCACAAAATTTCGGGACAGCCACAAAATTTCTGGACACTCTTAAAGCTTTTAAAAATCTAATAATATTAATATTAAATTAAATAAATTATATAATTAAAACCTTTTAAGATATTATATTATAAATTATATTAAGAGTAATAATATATTATACTTATAAGTATTATTAATTTATTACTCT